AGGGAGAGCCAGTTTACTGTAGTGGTGAAGTGTGCGGACTCTAATCTGGGAGAACCGGGTTTGATTCCCCACTCCTCCACTTGCACCTGCTGATGTGACCTTGGGTCAGTCGCAAGCTCTGGCACAGCTGTCCTTGAAAAAGAGCCGTTTGTGTCAGAGCTCTCTCAGCCCTGCCCACCTCACAGGGTGTCTGTTGTGGGGAGGGGAAGGGAGAGGAGATTGTAAGCCGCTCTGAGACTCCAAGTGAAGGGCGGGGTATAAATCCAATCTCTTCTTCTTCTTAAAGAGGCCGTACACAACAGGTACATTTACAGATGAACTCAACCTGGCAACCCTAAGCATGTGTGAACGTTTGAACTGAAACATATCAATTGGACTGGAGTAGCTCTGTTTTTCTAAACCCATTTTATAAAAGGTCACATATTTAACTCGTTACCTTTGAATTCATTCATCGTAGTCTCCAGAAAAGGATGCGTTTTAGAGACGTTCTCAATCTGTTGCTTTAATTCAAGAGGAAAACCTCCTGGGTTCACAAATTTTTCCTTGTTACACCTAGAGAGAAGTGAAAGTTACTGACTGAGTGCCCATCCATTAGTCTTAATTCAGCAGAGAACCTGAAGTGAAACTTTGGGAACCTACAGCTTAAACTAAGCTAAGCAGACAAGGAAACAGAATGGAGGCAGAAATGGAGCTGAAACATCTGAATCAGTCTAAGATGTATTTACCTGCTACGACTCCCACTGTAGGCCAACAACCACCTTTTAGCGGACTCTCCTTTGTTTGGAAGGGGTGTTGTTTATACTAGTTATTCTGACAAACTTTGTGACCCCCGTTTCCCAATTTTTTTCATCTTATTGCTCTCCCCAGAGTTGTGTGTGTCATGGGACCCAAACTCATCCCGTCTGCTTCCCGACCTCATAAACCCCACTTCTCCCCCTCTTTCTCGGTGGGTACAGTGAGAAGGGCTCTCTGTGGGGCCTCTGTTCCTCCACACATCCTGGGCCATGCAGGTTCCGGGGCACCTGAGAGGACATCTGATATTTTTATCAGCTACTCAGATGTCCCAGAAAACAACATTTCCCAGGATCCCTGGTCCTTAGGGGGCTACTCTCTCAGGATTTCATAAACCAGTAGAGAAGCACAATTGTTTTTTATTCATGTTCATTTCAAGGGTATTGTTCATTTCATGGTTGCAGCCTTTCAGTGTCGTTATTATTGTTGTTGTTACTACTAGTATTCTCTCTGTGTTTTAACGCAGATCCTATTCTGCATTTTATAACTCTTTTGTATTGTACTGTACTTGTAACGGCCATTGGCCATATGCAATAAATCGAATAGAACTGAACTACTACTATTACTACTAACTTTAAGTTCTAAGTCTTCTGATATTAATACAGATAATTCTGTTCCTTCTTTTCCTCCTCCTGATGAAGGGAATCTAGAAACCCAATTTGCTAAGTGCGCTAATTCTGTGATGCCATTGCGGGAGGCTCTGGCTCCGGGAGGGCAGGTTGAGTTTGTTTATTGTCCCTTTTCTAATACTGACTTGTTGATATGGAAGAGGGGGTTACCAAAGTATAGGGGAAATGCAGAGGAAGTTGCTCAGGAATTTGAAAATTTGTGTAATATGTATCAGCCTACATGGATAGATGTTCAGCAAATTTTAATTCAGATTCTTTCTCCTGAGGAGAAACGGTTCGTTTTGGATAAAGCTCGAACTATCTGTGAGGCTGATGAAAGGGCAAAAGGGGATCAAGGAGCTACCGATATTAGTATTATAACGTCTACATCACTTTTTAGTCAGTGTCTGGCCAAGTCTCTTCAAAACTGGACTAACTATGATGAATTTTGGGGGGCAACAGGGGTATTGTGTCTCAAGGGACAAGGCCCAACTTGTACATCATCATCATCATTGTTATTCCTCTCCCCCTCCTCCCCACCCCGCTCCAGGATTCACTAGCAATTACTATGCAGCATCTGCTGCAGCTTCAGGCTAGCCACACTAGCCAAGCAGAAAAGTGAAGAGCCAGCTAGCCCACCAGCCCAAAGAGCAGGCAGAAGATCTCTCAGCCTCCACCCAATCCCCAGACCCCCTAAAGCTGTTTTTCTAGTGTCTAAGGTACTGGCCTTGATGCTCCTGGACAGTGCAGCCTGAGGAGGAAGAATATGCCAGGACTACACATCCCAGGGTGCTCTGTAAGGACTACATGTCCCAGGGTGCTCTGAGTTGCCAGGGAAAACACTGTGTGGGGAAGAGTGTGCATCTGCCTTCCTGCGCATAGTTGCCAACCTCCAGTTAGGGCTTGGAGCTCACCCAGAATTACAGTTGAACTCCACACTATAGAGATCAGTTCCCCTGGAGGAAATGGCAGCATTTGAGGGTGGGCTCTATGGCAACACATCTCTGCTGAAGACCCCCCCACACCAGTGTTCCCTCTTTTCCCAACCCTACGTGTTCACCCTATAGCAGACTGATTACCTGCTGGTGCGGCTAGTGTTACTGCTAACTCCAACTGAGTACAGGGAAATCACAGCTAAATTCTCTTGTTCTCTTAGTTGACACTATAGTTTTCCTGCCTGGCCTAAGAGAAGCAAGCCATTCACACACAGCCCTGGTTAACAATGCTACTTACCGTTGCAGAATGTTTCCAAGGCCCTAGATGGAAAAGAAAAAGAAGCAGAATTGATGTACAGACCCATGCCCTCACACATATCAGCAAAGACATACTCTGGCTACATTCCCCAGCTAGTATATATTGGCATGGCTTCTCTAATCTTAGTGAAGCTCCAGTATTTCAAATTGCTTGGGAAATCGGGTTCATTTTTCCTGAATATATGCTTTCATTTGGTTTTATATTTGACTAGGAATAAGGCCCGTTGTGGAAATAAATACAACGAGATCTAGAAAGAGGCTCTGGGGGAGTGCTCTGGCTTTGGGCAAACAGTCCACTGTTTTCTCCAGAGGAACTGATCTCTGCTACCTGAAGAGCAGTTGTAATTTTGAGTGATCTCTAGCCCTCACCTGGAGATTGGCAACAATTGTTACCAAGGAGGAAATGGCTGGTTTGGAGGGTGGAGTCTATGGCATTAGAAACAGCTGCACCAATACCAGATGAAGCAACAGCAGGAGTGATCATCCTGTTTTGAAAACTACTGCCAGAATTAGATTTATAGTAAACGGCTTACCCGGCCTTTCTCCCCAAAGGGCATCTAAAACGGCTTACATTGTTCTCCTCTCCTATATTTTATCCCCACAACAACGTGCCTGTGAGGTACAGTAAGCTGAGAAGGCGTGACTGGCCCAAGGTCACCCAGCAGGCTTCCATTGGCAGAGTGGGGATTTGAACCTGGGTCTCCCAGATCCTGGTCCAACACTTTAACCACTTAGCTTAGCTTCCATGGCAAATAGCATGGGGGGGGCGGGGTCTGGAGATAACTTGGGCCAGGATATTCCAGTTCCTTTCATTTTTGGCCCTGGAACTCCCACAATCATCCTGAAGCTGGTAGCCAGTTTTGAGGATCCTAGTTTTATTTTCTAATAAGCAGGGTTAGGGTTAGGGTTAGGGTTAGGGTTTCATAGAAAAAGAGCGAGGGGAACTCATTAGCATAACTCATTAGCATATGCCACACACCCTGACATCACCGGAAGTGTATCATAAGGCCACACCCCCTGACATCACCTGAAGTGTGTCATAAGGCCACACACCCCGCCCCCAACGGTCCCGGCCGCCACCGCCGGCCTTGC